ACAATGAAGGCGATGTATCTTCGATGTCCGATTTTGCATGAGAACGTGCGATAAAGAGCGGCTGTTCGAATCGAGGCAATAAATAATTTTCAATTTTAATAATAACTCAATTTTTTTATAATGGTTCACGTGGTTTTTTCTCCTTAATTGAGCATTAATAATTGTTTATACTTATGTGCAGTCGTCATACATTGCACAGTTCTAGCAAAAGATTTTTATTAAAAGAATGGAAAATTCCCTTCGGAATAACGTGGCAACTTACCGTTGGCAAGTCCAAACAATATACAGTATATGACCAACGTCCAGTAGTCCGTAAGATGCGGCAGAATGATCGTAGCAACTCCTCCGAGAAATATGGAAACGTTCTGCACTAGAATAACATCGATTTTGGGCCTGTCCGACAGCCAGCCGCAGGCTATCCTGGCAATAATATTAGTAACTCCAATAACTGACACGAGCAGACTGGACTTGCTTTTCGAATACCCCAAAATCGTCGACTGTTTGGGAACGTACGTGAATGGAACAAAGAGTCCAAAAGCCATCGATGCTCCGCCTACAGTCCAGGCCAGAAAGGTAAGTGAGCGAAACAGCCGCACGTCCAGAATCTGCAGTAGCGTCGACTTGATGGTTTCAAGTAATCCCTGAGGCTCAATCACATCCACGTCGATATTTCTTCTAGCACATTGGCACTCCTTCGACTCGGGAAGCTCGCCGACCCGACTGCGAATACTGCGACAACTGCCTCGAAAAAATATGTCCATTCTGTTGAACGGCTGATTGATCGTGTCGATGCTGGCTTGGCTAATTTTCCTCAGCGTCGCTAGATCAATGGATTCCAGTGTTTCCGGTTCCTAGAAATGTCTGTAATGATATAGATGAGGTTATAATTTACATGTACTAACCGGTAGAACCGACCAACAGCGAAATAGACGTTGTAAAAACGTTCAGCAATAGAATGTTTTATACCATTGTGAAAATCGGTCTGAGTGAATAGTCTTATTCTTTCTACAGACATAATGAAGTCGCTGAAAGTTTTCAGCTTCTGTTTTAAGCAGGATAACTGCTCATTATGACTAAGTCTGCGGCAATCTTTATCAGGCCTTAAATTTGGATAAAACCAGAGAATAAATAGGAGATGAAGTCGGTGATACTTCAAATGGCAAGTTTATTTTTCAGCGTACTTTTGGAGCAGATATCTTTGTCATTTCTAGTAGAAATTGTGCGCTGAAAAACCTGACTGTTGTAATCTCATCCGGCGAGGCCATCGCCAAGATTTTGCAACTACGGTGGGCTGAAACTGCGTGGCATTTCTTAACATAGTCTGGACGAGCAAGAGAATATTATCATCGATTAAAGTAGTACACTTGATAGAGAGTCCACCAGTCGTACAAATCTAATAACCAAATTGTGCCCAGCTGTCCGTCAGCGAAAGCCTAGATTGGTCACTACTTATGAGGCAGGTATTCGTCAGGCCGTGGACTCGCTATATCTATTCAATATGCGTTGACTGCCAATATCCTCGCCCTCCCCCTCTCACCAAAAACAAAATATGCAGCACTGCTCCTTGTCTATGAGTACCTTCTGTCTTACTTTTCTGCACTGACCCAGTGATACTTTGAGGAACATGTCACAAAGACGAAAACCTCGAACGTTGAGCCGAGCTACCAGATCGATATGGTAAACTCAATGACGATGAGCTAGTAAAAGTGATGACATACAAGTGGTTACAGTCG